GCCTGCTTCTTCCACAGCGATGATAATGCTGCCCCCCGCCCCACTTCTGCCCCCTCGTCCACCCCTGAAAGACCGTCTCCTCAGCAGCTCCCAAGTGACATGCCCTTCGACGGGAGGCTCCCCAGTGTGTCCAAGGTGCCCCCCAGTGACTCCCAGGAATGTCTGATTAGAGCAAAGAAAACAAATGTAATCTTCGATACAGCTTCCCGCCGGAGGAGCAAAGTTCAGTAAACTGCTGACTTGTCCTCCCTGCCGCTCCCTCCAGTCCTTCCATCCGGTCACCTTCTCTCCCCTGGGGGCCCTTCCCTCCCTCCCTCCCCTCCTCGCTGAGCCCCGCGGCTCCCCTCCGAGTCCACCCGTGCCCTCCTTCCACAGGCCTCGCGCCCCCTTTAAAAAGTGTGTTTAACTGGCAGCTGAAATTTCCGAACACGAATTCATTATCTAAACACCGGCCAAACCGTCTAGCTGCCCGCGTGTTAGAGCGACAAGGCACGGAGCACGCGGTGATTGCTCGCGCGGAGAAACTCATCTAAATGACTGGAAAGAAGTCATCCCAACGCACTCAGTCCCCGTGACCTCCCGACATCTGTCTCCTCCACAGAGTACACATACATAGCAGAAGCCCAGGCAGGGTCAAAGCAGCGAGCCGGGCCGCTGACTGACGGACACCTGACTGCTGGGACATGCCTTGCTTTGGAAAATGAATTTGGTTCCATCCGTCATGCTACCGAAAACGCAACAATATATTTCAGTCTGCACTGTGCACAGAAGTGGGAAATGAATTCGAACAGCCACCAGAAGGAGCTGTGGAGCGTGACTGGCAGACACAGAAACCCTTTCGGGGATTTGGAGAGTTCTTTCTCTATGGACCGGAGGAAATTCTTCGCTGATATGGTCCAATAGAGGCAGGCAAAGTGAAAGCCATCTCTCATGGGCTGTCCAAGACCCACCCAAAGCCTTCTTAAGACTCTGCCTCCTCCTCGCCCCAGCAGCCAACTATATTAAGAAAATGCCATTCAAGATCTCTTCAAATTATGAAAAAAATATGTTTTGTTTTCTGTTTTTGTGGTACATGCCCCTAGCAGGAACCGAACCTGGGACTCTGTGGTCCGCAGGCCGATGCGCACCGCTGAGCCAAACTGGCCAGGGCTGAAAAAATTTTTCAATGAAAACAAAATAGAATAGTTTCCTGGAATGTGGTAAAACTGTGCCTTAACAGTACACCAGAGCAACTATGCTGGACCCCTGAAACTAGTATAAAATAATATTGAATAGCACTGTCCTTGAAAACATTTAAAATGATTAAAAATACACCAGTGCACTGCAAATGCTCTGAATCCCTGGCTGGCTGAAACGCGCGTGTGGTTTGCAGCTGGTTGGAGAGAAGAATCGAGCGTCTTCTGGAGGCATCAGAATGATTCCTCTCCATTCACGAGAACGCACTGAGCCCTGGCCAGTTCGGCCGGGTTAGAGCGTCGCCCGCGGACCTAAGGGTCAGGGCTCCATTTCCCATCAAGGGCAGGTACCTGGGTTGCAGGTTCCATCCAGGCCCCAGCCCGGACCGTGCGGGAGGCAACCAATGGATGTGTCTCTCTCACGTCGATGTTTCTCTCTCCCTCCCTCCCTGTCTCCCTCCCTTCCACTCTCTCTAAAAAGTCGATAGGAAAATATCCCCGCTGAGGATTAACACCCAAAAGAGTGCTTTGCGGTGAAATTCACAGGGCAGGAGGCAACCCCAGGATGCGAACAGTCCCTCGGGGTTTGCAGATTCCTCCGTGGCACCAGCCTCTTCCCGGCTCCTCCTCCACCTTCCCTGCCCTCCCACCCGCCTTGGAGGAGACACTTTGGAAAGAATTTTATAAAAGTCTAAAGATCCGTGAAAGGCTTCAAACAGCATGGGCCTTGGGCCCCTCCGGACATCTGCACCCCCCCAATACATCTCCCCCAACCCTTTTCTGCCCTTTTTGGCCAGACAGCCCCACCGTCTTCCTCCCTGCTCCCCGGTCTCTCCTCCACAGCGCACTTTCTACCCCCAGCGTCTTTTATTCCACTGACTTCCATCCCCACACCCCGATGTCTTGGGCTCCCTCCTGTCTCCTCCCCCCACTCTCTGCCCACCTATCTCCTGCTCAGGTCTCTGGAGCCTCCTTCAAGTTCCCTCCTCCCCACCTGTTCGTTCCTCCATTGTCCACCCACCGCACCCGTCCATCCATCCAGCTGCCCTGTCCATCCACCTGCCCTGTCCGTCCATCTGCCCTGTCCGTCCACCTGCCCTGTCCGTCCATCTGCCCTGTCCATCCATCCATCTGCCCTGTCCATCCACCTGCCCTGTCCGTCCATCTGCCCTGTCCATCCATCCACCTGCCCTGTCCATCCACCTGCCCTGTCCGTCCATCTGCCCTGTCCATCCATCCACCTGCCCTGTCCATCCATCCATCTGCCCTGTCCATCCACCTGCCCTGTCCATCCATCTGCCCTGTCCATCCATCCACCTGCCCTGTCCATCCACCTGCCCTGTCCATCCATCTGCCCTGTCCATCCATCCACCTGCCCTGTCCATCCACCTGCCCTGTCCATCCACCTGCCCTATCCGCCCACCTGCCCTGTCCATCCACCTGCCCTGTCCATCCACCTGCTGCATATTTCCAAACTCCTCATTCCCCCACCAAGTCACTGGGGGCGCCCTACAGACTCCCCTCCACTTCCATCTTCATCCATCCCCCCCCAGGTCTCTCAGCGCCCCCTGCAGGCCCCCTCCACTTCCATCCTCACCCATCCCCCACCCAGGTCTCTCAGCGCCCCCTGCAGGCCCCCTCCACTTCCATCTTCATCCATCCCCCCCCAGGTCTCTCAGTGACCCCTGCAGGCCCCCTCCACTTCCATCTTCACCCATCCCCCACCCAGGTCTCTCAGCGCCCCCTGCAGGCCCCCTCCACTTCCATCCTCACCCATCCCCCACCCAGGTCTCTCAGCGCCCCCTGCAGGCCCCCTCCACTTCCATCCTCACCCATCCCCCACCCAGGTCTTTCAGCGCCCCCTACAGACTCCCCTCCACTTCCATCTTCATCCATCCCCCCCAGGTCTCTCAGCGCCCCCTGCAGGCCCCCTCCGCTTCCATCCTCACCCATCCCCCACCCAGGTCTCTCAGTGCCTCCTGCAGGCCCCGTCCACTTCCATCCTCACCCATCCCCCACCCAGGTCTCTCAGCGCCCCCTACAGACTCCCCTCCACTTCCATCTTCATCCATCCCCCCCCAGGTCTCTCAGCGCCCCCTACAGACTCCCCTCCACTTCCATCTTCATCCATCCCCCCCCAGGTCTCTCAGCGCCCCCTGCAGGCCCCCTTCACTTCCATCCTCACCCATCCCCCACCCAGGTCTCTCAGCGCCCCCTGCAGGCCCCGTCCCCTTCCATCCTCACCCATCCCCCACCCAGGTCTCTCAGTGTCCCCTGCAGGCCCCGTCCACTTCCATCCTCACCCATCCCCCACCCAGGTCTCTCAGCGCCCCCTACAGACTCCCCTCCACTTCCATCTTCATCCATCCCCCCCCCAGGTCTCTCAGTGCCCCCTGCAGGCCCCCTCCACTTCCATCCTCACCCATCCCCCACCCAGGTCTCTCAGCGCCCCCTGCAGGCCCCGTCCACTTCCATCCTCACCCATCCCCCACCCAGGTCTCTCAGCGCCCCCTGCAGGCCCCCTCCGCTTCCATCCTCACCCATCCCCCACCCAGGTCTCTCAGCGCCCCCTACAGACTCCCCTCCACTTCCATCTTCATCCATCCCCCCCCAGGTCTCTCAGCGCCCCCTACAGACTCCCCTCCACTTCCATCTTCATCCATCCCCCCCCCAGGTCTCTCAGTGCCCCCTGCAGGCCCCCTCCACTTCCATCCTCACCCATCCACCCCCAGGTCTCTCAGCGCCCCCTGCAGGCCCCGTCCCCTTCCATCCTCACCCATCCCCCACCCAGGTCTCTCAGCGCCCCCTACAGACTCCCCTCCAGTTCCATCTTCATCCATCCCCCACCCAGGTCTCTCAGCGCCCCCTGCAGGCCCCGTCCACTTCCATCCTCATCCATCCCCCCCAGATCTGTCAGCACCTCTGCAGGTCCCCCTCTATTTCTCCTCCTCATCCATCCCCCATCCATCCCCCAACAGATCCCTGGTCCCTTCCTCCACCACCCTCATCAGTGGTGGCCCCTCCCCCTGGCTCCAGCCCTTGCACGCCACCTTTCCCCCAACCCCCACCCCACCCTCGCCTTTCCCGCTCCGCACATGCGCACAGCAGCCCTCGAGCTTTTCCATCTTTTACCCTCGAGCGCCAGGCAGCCGCAGGCGGGCAGTGGCCTGCAGCGCCCAGGAGTTGGAGCCTGCCGGTACAGGGCGGGCGGCGCCAAGGCCACGCCTCCCGGGTGTGCCACCCACCCCGGGCCAGACTCCGGCCCCTGCAGAGCATGTGCTGCTCCGCCCGCGGGCAGGCGGTGAGAAGGCGGGAAAGGCTTTCCAGACGGTGGGGGCAGGGTGGGGCCGGGCCAGGGAGGGGCCGGGCCAGGGTGGGGCTGGGAGTGGGGGTGCGGTCGCCCCAAGCGTGGACGGTGCACGTGCCGGCCTGAGGCCTGCTCCGCCAAGTGTGTGTGGGCTGAGACTCTAGGCCCAAAGCCCACGTGGCCCAGCCCGTCCTCAGTCTGGAGTTGAGCAATGGTGGATAGCTTGCTGAGGCTCCACCTTGCTGGTCCTACAGCGTGCATTTGCTGAAAGCCTGCTCAAACCCAGATCTGCTGGTTCTAGAATGTTCCGAACAAATGCCTGCCTCGGCCTACATCTTGTTGAGGCTCAGCCCCTCCTAAGCCTAGGCCGAGTCCCCTTAGCCCAGGCTCCTACGAAGTCTAAAGCCTTGTGAGGCCAGAACCTCGTCCGGCCTTGGTCAGTTCTGAAGCCTGCTAGAGCCGAGCCCTCTGTGCCCGACCCAGACCGCTTGCTTTTCTCTCAAACAGGCCAAGTCGAAATGGCAAGGACCGAGGCCTCTGACCCTTCCGAGCAATTCACCAAAATCAAAGAGCTAGAGTTGGTGCCAGAAAAAGCCCAGGAGGAGGAGGCGGTTGGAGGGTGCAGAGTGAAGGAGCCCACAAACCCTGGGAAGGCGGAGGCCCAGTGCACCTACGGGGCCCTTTTGGCCAAGGTCTCCGAGGAAGAACTGGTGCCTGTCACCACGGAGGACAGTGGGAGGCACATCCTGACCTTACAGGTGGTGTGCCCCACCTTCGAAGATGGGGAGCTGCAGGAGGTCCACTGTGTGATGCCACAGCAACAAGAGGGGGTGCAGGTGATGGTGCAGCAGACCGGTAGTGGGGTGCCGTCGCTGCTGTGGGTTGGAGAGGGGCCCCAGCAGAGCCCGCACCCGTGCATGGCCGTTGGCATCCAGGATCAGGTGTACTCACTGCAGGAAACACAGCCGATGCAGCTTCACGTTCTGCAGGATTGTCTGGCCGTGGCCGTGGCCACTGAAGACAGTCAGTGCACAGAGCCCCTGCCCGAAAGCGCTGGATTGATTAAGGTACGGCGGGTTTTAAGACGCGGACCCTTTACATGGAATTAAAAACAAACTATTTTTAGGTTGCCCTCTGTGCAGCATGATGTACAGACACGCGGTTTAAAATTAAACAGTCTAAATAGTGTCGTTTTACTACCCAAACCCCTTGATGCTTAATAATGACACTGAAGCCTTTTGGTTGCCGTGGACAATCTTACGTGCTACTTTAATTTTTTTTCTTTCCGTTATGTATTCCTTGATGTCCTCAAGGCAAAGAGCTGAGTCGGATCATAATTTACAGTATATTTGTTTGAATACTCGTGTTATTTCTTAGCTTGAGCCCAGCCAGGAGGGCAACCAGCTGCCAGCCAAAGGAGTCCTCAGGAGCACACAAGGCCAGTTCTTCTTCGTGGAAGCGAGGCCTGGAGATGAGGGAAGAAACGAAATCGTTCTGACAATTTCAAACTTACACGTGGACGAGACAGAAGCTCAACCTGTGTCTGTTCAACCGCATGTTGAAAGAACCCACTCTCCGAACGCTCACCAGGAGACCAAGGGTAGGCAGGTTCAGTTGTCGGGAGAGACCCTGCCGAAAACAGGCTGCCGTTCTGGAGGGCACGGAGGCGGTCTTTGAAGTGTTAAGTGGTTGACTTTTGGTCGCATCCAGAACATCAGGAAATGGGAGAAATTTTAAACTAATGTTCTGTGGTGTGCGTCGAATCCAAGCGTTTTGCATTTTGCACACACATGTTTTAGAAGTGTAGAAAATGCTCCTGGAAAGCACTGCATCCAGGTTTAGAATGTTGGGCTCTGATCTGCTCCCCAGTTTGCACACCGTGGCAAGGAGGGGAGGGCAAGAGAAGGGGCTTCCGGTCCAGGAGGAGTGATGTGCAGAAGGCAGCAGAGGCACCTTCCGGGGAGAAGTCTGAGTGAGGCCAGGAAAGAGGACTGGGAACCACGCAGCAGGGGCATCACTGGCCCAGGCAGCAGGAAGTGGCCTGTGGGTGTGGCTTCTTAATGAGTCTGGGTGGTCCTCAGAGAGGGAGATCAATCCAGATTAGGAAGGGCCTTGAAGTTCTCTTAAAACTGAAACTGAGCCCTGGCCGGTTTGGCTCAGCGGTTAGAGCGTCGGCCTGCGGTCTGGAGAGACCCGGGTTCAGTTCCCGCTAAGGGCACGTACTTCGGTTGCAGTTTGTCCCCGGCCCTGGTTGGTCGTGCAGGTGGCAGCCACTCGATGTGTCCCTTCATGTCCATGTTTCTCTCACTCTCTCTCTCTTCCTCTCTCTCCCTCCCACTCTATCTGTACAAAAAATGGAAAAATATCCTCGGTGAAACTGAAAAAACTGAAACTGAAACTGAAACTGAATCTGAATCTGAAACTGAATCTTGGTGGTCCACAGGATGGAATTATTTGTTTGACTTCTTTTTTTTTTTTTCTTAATCCTCACCCGAGGACATTTTTGCATTTATTTTCAGACAGACTGGGAGGGAAAGAGAGAGGAAGAGAGAGAGAGAAACATCGATGTGAGAGAAACACATTGAATGATCGCCACCCACATGAACCTAACCGGGGCCAGGAATGAACCACAACCCAGGTACATGCCCTTAGCAGGAACCAAACCTGGGATTCTCTGGTCCGAGGACCGATGCTCCAACCACTGAGCCGAACCGGCCATGGCTGTTTGGCTTCTTTAAAAAAAAAAAAAAAGTAGCCCTGGCTGATTTCGCTCAGCAGTTAGAGCGTTGGCCCGCGGACCAGAGAGTCCCGGTTTAGTTCCCACTACGGGCACGTACCTGGGTTGCAGTTGGTCCCAGGCCCCAGTCGGGGTCATGTAGGTGGCAACTACTCAAAGTGTCTCTCTCACATCGATGTTTCTCTCTCTCTCTTCCTCCCTCTTCCCCTCCTGCTCTATCTGAAGATAAATGCAAAAAAATGTCCTCGGGTGAGGATTAAAAAAAAAAAAGTAGTTTCTTAATTTCTGGCTCATTTTTAAAAAGTCATATATGGCAACATTTGGCTCTGTTTCCTCCTTCTTGCAGCAGGTGGCCGGGGCTGGGAAGTGACTTGGTTTAGAAGTCACACTGCCACCATTGCCCGTGGTCAGAGTCATTCACTGAGGGTTGTTGCCTCTGGTTACAGTCGGTGGTTGAATTTGCAACCCTGGATATAATTTCTCATAGATTTAAAACGAGAGATTGAGCTCCTCAAAGTCCCAGTTCATTTTCAGGTGTTTAATTTAGTCACACGTTGGTGCAGCATGTTCATCACCCCCCAAATGGAATCAGAACATCTAAAGAGAGATGTTGCCCAGCCCGTGTGGCTCACTGGTTGAGCATCGACCCTGCACCAAGAGGTCGCCAGTTCGATTCCCGGTCAGGGCACATGCCAGGCAGCAGGCTAAAGCCCCAGCAGGGGGCGTGCAGGAGGCGGCCGATCTGTTCTCTCTCATCGACGTTTCCATCTCTCTCTCCTCCCTTCCTCTCTCAAAACAAAGAAAAAAAATTTTTTTAATAAATAAACAAAGAGAGATGTTCACAAAGACATGAACTCTGTCTCCTTCCTGCAGGAGGAACACACACCTTCCAGTGTGACCTGTGCTCATTCACCGCGCCCAGAATTTCCAGGTTGAATCGTCACATGAAGACTCACACCAACGAGAAGCCTCACGTGTGTCACATGTGCATGAAAGCTTTCCGCACGGTCACCCTGCTGCGGAATCATGTGAACACCCACACAGGTAAAGCCGCCGAGGACCGCGCCCTGGCGTGACGCGTGCCAGAGCTGTTTCTACGTAACCCCGGATTGCCTTAGACTTGCGTCAGTGGGAATGGAATGTTACAAAGACGTCTCTGGCCTCTCGCTGGTGTCGTTATGGTTTAAAGAGCGAGCCTCGCCCTGGTTGGTTTTGCTCAGTGGTTAGAGCGTCGGCCTGTGGACCAGAGAGACCTGGGTTCGGTTCCCGCTAAGGGCACGTACCTCGGTTGCAGTTTGTCCCCGGCCCTGGTTGGGTCGTGTGGGTGGCAGCCACTCGATGTGTCTCTCTCACATCGATGTTTCTCTCTCTCTCTCCCTCCCTCTCTCCCTCCCGCTCCTTCTGAAGATAAATGCAAAATGTCCTTGGGTGAGGATAAAAAAAGAAGAAAAAAAGAGCGAGCCTCTTCTTCGTTGTTAAAGCACATTGAGACGGAGTGTGACCGAGGAGTTAGAAAGTCCTAGGGAAGACTGTGGTCACATCTTGTTGAGAAGGATAACCTGTGATTTTGCAGGAACCAGACCCCACAAGTGCGGGGATTGTGACATGGCGTTTGTCACCAGCGGAGAACTGGCCCGGCACAGACGGTACAAGCACACTCACGAGAAGCCGTTTAAATGCCCCATGTGCACGTACGCCAGCGTAGAAGTAAGTGCACGCGCGCTGCAGGCTCTGCGGCGTCTCACCGAGAGGTCGCTGTAAGTCACGTTACGTTACGGTGACAGCAGAATCCCTTACGGAAGAGGTTTGTTAGACAGACGACTCGTATAGAGTCTACGCGGGAACGAAGAGTCATTCAGTTCTCTAGACTGGAAATCGAAAACGGGATTTCTTTTGGCTTTGATTGCCCGTTAGCGAAAGCAATAGATAAAAGTGTGCTCGTGACCAATAAAACTGCGTGGAGTGCTTGGGAAATCTGCCTCCCATCACACTCCAAGTTCTACATCGTGTTTCAGGTGGGACTCAGTTCACAGACTCCGAGCGTGTTAGCTCGGAGACCCAGCCGGGGTTTGCTGAGATCCTCGGTGGCTCTCAGTCAGATACAAGGCGACTTCCTGGGAGATTTAAACACCCCGTTTCCCCTGGTTTACGGAGAAACCAGGTTTCTCGAGCTTCAGTGATGTGTCCCGGCCATGACAGCTAGATCCTTTTATTTCAACCTCCTAGCAGGTGCAGCAGCTCCCTGAGTGAAGGGACCGAGCACGACAATTGCTTTCACTGTGGCTTCCTATAATTAATGTTTTAAGGGCGCCACTGCCTGTCAGCCGCTTGCTGGCTTGCTGCTGAGCCAGCGCCGGGCGAGGACATGCACGCGGGCAGGGGACTGAGTGAAAGGGCACGAGGGACGAGGGACGTGAAAATAGGGGAGTGATGCAACCGCGGAATGTCACAGACCGGGTCAGGCTTTGACTCCCAAGAACTTTTATCTGCTATTACTATTTTTAAAAGTTCTTGCTCATTCGAGTTAAAGGTTGTAACTTTAGTTTGAAAACACAAAAATGGAAGGTTCGCCCTGGCCGGTTTGGCTCAGCGGTTAGAGCGTCGGCCTGGGGACCAATGAGTCTTGGGTTCGATTCTGGCCAAGGGCATGTACCTCGGTTGCGGTTCGCCCCCCGGTCCTGGTCAGGGTCGTGCGGGAGGCAACCAGGCAATATGTCCCTCTCATTCGATGTTTCTCTCTCCCATTCTCTCTCTCTCTCCCCCCCACACACTCTATCTGAAGATAAATAGAAAAATTAGTAAATAAATAAATAATGGAAGTTTCAAGGAGCAAAGCCGTCAGAGACGCCCGAGCCTGGAGTGGGCTTCCACCTGGTGTCCTGATGGCTCTGAGCACAAGCATCCAGGTCCCCTGAGACCTTCTTCTAGGGTCAGTGGTCTGCACACAGCCTGTGGACTGGTTGGCCTAGGCCTACGGGACCCAGTTCTGTGCAGTTTCCAAGTCCAGCCATGCTGGTCTGCGTCCCGCACCCCCATTTCTTTATGCAGACACCTGCAGAATGAATCACCCCATGGTGCCCAGAACGCAGCCTGGAGAGCCCTGTGCTCCCCTCCATCCTCCCCTCCCTGTGCTGTGCTCCCTCCACCCTCCCCTCCCTGTGCTGAGCTCCCTCCACCCTCCCTTCCCTGTGCTGAGCTCCCCTCCACCCTCCCCTCCCTGTGCTGAGCTCCCCTCCACGCTCCCCTCCCTGTGCTGAACTCCCCTCCACCCTCCCCTCCCTGTGTTGAGCTCCCCTCCACCCTCCCCTCCCTGTGCTGAGCTCCCTCCACCCTCCCCTCCCTGTGCTGTGCTCCCTCCACCCTCCCCTCCCTGTGCTGAGCTCCCCTCCACCCTCCCCTCCCTGTGCTGTGCTCCCTCCACCCTCCCCTCCCTGTGCTGAGCTCCCCTCCACCCTCCCCTCCCTGTGTTGAGCTCCCCTCCACCCTCCCCTCCCTGTGCTGAACTCCCCTCCACCCTCCCCTCCCTGTGTTGAGCTCCCCTCCACGCTCCCCTCCCTGTGCTGAGCTCCCTCCACCCTCCCCTCCCTGTGCTGTGCTCCCCTCCACCCTCCCCTCCCTGTGCTGTGCTCCCCTCCACCCTCCCCTCCCTGTGCTGAACTCCCCTCCACCCTCCCCTCCCTGTGCTGAGCTCCCTCCACCCTCCCCTCCCTGTGCTGAGCTCCCCTCCACCCTCCCCTCCCTGTGCTGTGCTCCCCTCCACCCTCCCCTCCCTGTGCTGAGCTCCCCTCCACCCTCCCCTCCCTGTGCTGAACTCCCCTCCACCCTCCCCTCCCTGTGCTGAGCTCCCTCCACCCTCCCTTCCCTGTGCTGAGCTCCCCTCCGCCCTCCCCTCCCTGGCAAAGCCATCCAGAGACAGTGGACATGCGGCCACCTTTGACCATTCGCAGCACTCATCCAATCTTTCGTGCTGTCATTTTAAAAATTCCTTTGTTTCGCGTTCCGATATACTTGAAGACATCCACTTTTCATCTGAAAAGGTCTCTATTTTTCTATTGGGATCTGAGTCTTCTTTTGTTCTTGAATGTTCTCCGGGCTTGTCACTTCCTGGGGAATCAGACCCAGAGGTCGCAGGCAGGGTGATGCGGGCTGTCTGGCACCTGCCGCCCTACCCTCTGTTCTGCCGAAGGCCGTCAAGGCCTGCAGGGACGGAATACAGATGAGGACGGTTCCGGAAGGAAACTGAACAGTCAGGCAAACATGACCAAATGGGAGGTTCTGTGTTGTTTGCCTTTAACTAGTCTCCTGGGATGTGTAATTAACCAGATTAGAATGTATGTCCTAGTGCTTCAAAGTTACTTATTATACACCCTGGCTGGTGTGGCTCAGCAGTTAGAGCCACAGCCCACAGACCAAAGAGTCTCCGGTTCAATTCCGGTCAAGGGCATGTACTTCGGTTGCAGTTCCTTCCCCAGCCCTGGTCAGGGCCGTGCGGGAGGCAGCCAGTCGATGAGTCTCTCTCACATTCCTCTCTCTCTCTCTCTCTCTCTCTCTCTCTTTCTCTCCCCCTCCCTCCCTCTTTCCCTCCCACTATATCTGAAGATAAATGAAAAGGTATCCTTGGGTGAGAATTTTTTTAAAAAGTTATTATAAGGAACTCTGGACACACGGAACCCATCTTTGATAACCACTTAGGTCCCAAGGGACCTGGACCGGAGAGGTGCCCCCAGACGGGTGTCTGCCCATCCAAGAGCTAAGGTTTCAAGATCCTTGTTTTATTTATGCAAACAAGGCCTCTGGCGTCGGCATTTCTGCGGCGTGGTCTCAACTCTGCAGCGCTGAGCCGGTGGCCGCAGGAGTGAAATAAAACCCCTGTGGGACGTGAAGTTGAACCTGAGCGTCTCTGGAAACTGCTCCTGATTATCCCTAACGGATCTTTAACACACGTCTAATGGGGGGAGGGGGAAATCGTTCACGACAGAGAATAAAAAATAACGCTTTTTCGTACTTCTCACCGTGCAAAGTATGTCCTGAGGTTAAAATGTCAGTCTCTCTCTATAGTGCCGATTGACTGGAGCTAAAATTCTCAGGTTTCTCTCGCAAACAGACACCTTCCACTTGTTTACTAGGGGAGCAAGCTGAAGCGCCACATCCGGTCGCACACAGGGGAGCGTCCCTACCAGTGCCATCTCTGCAGCTACGCCAGCAAGGACACCCACAAGCTGAAACGGCACATGAGGACCCACTCAGGTAACAGTGTCTCACGCTGGAGGCCCCGTCCATGGCCACGTCCTCGGGCCACGTCTGTAAAGCGCCATCTCGTTTGCAGAAGTGAGCTTGTAAAGATGACTCTTCGGTGGTCGGAGTGTCAGAGCGAAGGTCTCCGTGCTTTTTCGGCGTGGGGACGTCTCTGTACCTTTGCATTTGTTTATTTGGCGTGCAGGGAGCCCACGTAAGCGCCGTGCTGTCACGCCGCTGTGACCAGGAAGACCCCATCAAGTATTCGCTCCCATAGGTTGTTCAGGGTTTTTTTTTGTTGTTTGTTTTTGTTTTTTATCCTCACCCGAGGACATTTTTCCATTTTTTGTTCAGGTAGAGTGGGGGGGGGAGAGAGGAACAGAGAGAGAGAGAGAAACATCGACGTGAAAGGGACACATCGAGTGGCTGCCACCCGCACAACCCCAACCAGGGCCGGGGACAAACTGCAACCGAGGTACATGCCCTTAGCGGGAACCGAACCCGGGTCTCTCCAGGCCGCAGGCCGATGCTCTAACCGCTGAGTCAAACCGGCCAGGGCGGTTGTTCAGGGTTTAAACGTCCGCTCCTCAGTGCGTCCTTCAACCTGAACACAATGGGAACGAGAGCGCGGTCTGGGCTCGATTTAGGAAGTTTGTACTAATTGGGCGGAAACGTAGGAGAAAGGGGTTGAAGAAGGAGCCCAGGGAACAAAAGACACGCTTTCAGCTCCGGGTGTCCTTTGGGGAGGATGGGGGCCTGCGGGGTGAAGCCCCTCCGCAGAGGGTCATCTTCGTCACCGTCCCCCAGGTGAGAAGCCCTATGAATGCCACTTCTGCCACGCGCGCTTCACGCAGAGCGGCACCATGAAACTACACATTGTGCAGAAGCACAGCGACAATGTCCCCAAGTACCAGTGTCCGCACTGCGCCGCTGTCATTGCGAGGAAGAGCGACCTACGTGAGTGTTTGAGTTAATGCCCTTTTTTCTCCAGGCAGCCAGACTTCAGGAACTAGTGTGGGAAGCCTTCGGGTTTTGTTGTTGTTGTTTCTTTATTTCCAGAGGTCCTGTGGTGCCATCTGGTGGCTAGTTTTCTTAAGTGCAGTTTCATAGCGTTTTGGTTGTCACAGTGAGAAGGCGAGGATGCTAGTGGCACCCAGTGGGCAGAGGCCAGGGATGCTGCTAAACGTCCCGCACAGGACGGCCCACCCAGGAAAGCACCCGCCGGCACTCGTGCTCATTGTGCTGAGAGTGAGAAGCCCTGACTCAGGGGCAGATGAACCTCACGGAAGAGGCCCCTCCTGCACCTAATGCTCTGTGCCCGTTCTAGGCGTCCATCTGCGTAACCTGCACACTTACCAAGCCATGGAGTGCCGCTACTGCTCGGCTGTCTTCCACGACCGCTACGGCCTCCTTCAGCACCAGAAGACCCATAAGAACGAGAAGAGGTTCAAGTGTGAATACTGCAGCTATGCCTGCAAGCAGGTACCGTCTCTGCCCGTTTGGGGGAGGCGGGGGAGGCCTGGAATCTGGGAGAACGGGGGCCTGGGTGGGGTTTTCTGTCACCTTGAAAGTACTGCAAAAAGTCCTGCTTTAAAAAAAGAAAAAGGCTATTGCCTGGTCAGTGTGGCTCAGTGGTTGAGCATCGACCCTGCACCAAGAGGTCACCAGTTCGATTCCTGGTCAAGGCACATGCCCAGGTTGTGGGCCAAATCCCCAGGTGGGGGGCGTGCAGGAGGCAGCCAATTGATGTTCTCTCTCCTCAATGTTTCTCTCTCTCCCTCTCCCTTCCTCTCTCTCTAAAATCAATAAAGAAGAAAATTCTTTTTAAAAGGCTGTTAAGAATAACCAGAAGGCAGCCATGAGCCAATAAATTAAAGCAACCGTTCTTCAAGTGTGTCCATAGACCCCCTAGAGGTCCTTGAAACCAGTCAGGGCTGTAAGATGAAAATTATTGCCGTTAATTAAGGAATTAATACCAACACGTTATTTGCCCTTTGCTACATTGGCGTTGGCCCTGATGGTGCAAAAGCCGCGGAGGTGTCTTAGTACAAAGCAGAGCAGTGTGCTCTTCACCTTCGTGCACTGGCGGCAAAAATAATGGGCCGTTTTACCTAGTAACGTCCTGGGGGAAGCAGTAAACATTACTTGCTTATTCAGTCTTGACCCTGGATACTCGTTTCCATGTTCTGTGTGATGAGCTGGGAGGTTGGTAGGCAGCACCGCTCTGTGCGGAGGCAGGACGGTGTCTGGACTTCGCCTGCAGGGCTGCTGGAGTTACCAGCTCAACGGGCCACTTTTTCACGAACTGTTATTTTTACTTGAAAGGGCAGGTGGCAAACTCCACTCACTCAGTTCCTGGGTACTTGGCAAAACCCAATGCCTTCTACTCGAAGGCAAAGTAAATGAGCACGTCACTGCAGACAAGATATGTGTGGCCGAGGATACAACATCAGCTTTTAAGAGGAAATTAGAACCCTGGACGGTTTGGCTCAGCCGTTAGAGTGTTGGCCAGCGGACTGGAGAGTCCCCGGTTCGGTTCCCGCTAAGGGCATGTACCTCGGTTACAGTTGTCCCCGGCCCCGGTTGGGGTCGTGTGGCTGGCAGCCACTCGGTGTGTCTCTCTCACATCGATGTTTCTCTCTCTCTTCTTCTGTCTCTCCCTCCCGCTCTATCTGAAGATAAACACCAAGAAAATGCCCTCGGGTGAGGATTAAAAAAAAAAAAAACAGAGGAAATTAGAATACAAATTTTGGAAAACTTATATCCAAAGATGGGAGTGACTTTAAGAAAACGATTTTTGTAGATGGTATAGTGAAACCGCGTCCACATTCAGAAGCTCTCTGTAACGCAAACTGAACAACCGATCCACGGGTTTACAAAATCAGGAGTGGGGTAAAGGATCCACTCAAAGTGCAAGCCAGGCCAGTGGACTTTAACGTAACAGAGTGCAAAGGCTCATTGGTGTGGTCTCAGGTTCCCCATTTTAGCCAGTTTTTAAGAAACGACCACTTACTGCGTATTGATGCAATACCAGAAAAGAATATTTACCATTATTTGAAAAAGCGATTAAGACTCTGCTCCCGTTTCCAACTGCGTATCGGCGAGAGTGTATTTCCTTCGCGTCTCCCACAAGCACGCCTCAGCCAAGTGAAGGCGGCCGCGGCGGTGAGGACGGGGCTGCCTTCCCTGTGAGGCCGCCGGACGCAGACATAAAAGTACGCGATGGCCAGTTAAATCTGAGTATCAGATAAACAACAGATACTCTCGTATATAAGCATGTCCCGAGTCATGCGGCCTATATTTTAACTGGCAGCCTTATCTGTTAAGCCAGACATTAATTTTTTTTTTTTAATCCTCACCCGAGGACATTTTTCGATATTTTGTTCAGATAGAGTGGGAGGGAGAGAGAGAAACATTGACGTGAAAGGGACACATGGAGTGGCTGCCACCCACACAACCCAACCAGAGCCGGGGACAAACTGCAACCGAGGTACGTGCCCTTAGCGGAACCAAACCCGGGTCTCTCAGGACCGCAGGCCGACGCTCTAACCGCTGAGCCAAACTGGCCAGGGCCAGACATTAATTTTTTTTGTTTTGAAAAAGAGATACGTGTGTCTAGAAATATGTTAACACGTAGTTGGTTTATTGTTAGTTTTAATTTTTTTTTTTTTTTATCCTCACCCGAGGATATTTTTCCATTTTTTGTACAGATAGAGTGGGAGGGAGAGAGAGGAAGGGAGAGGGAGAGAGAGAAACATCGACGTGAAAGGGACACATCGAGTGGCTGCCACCCGCATGACCAACCAGGGCCGGGGACAAACTGCAACCGAAGTACGTGCCCTTAGCGGGAACCGAACCCGGGTCTCTGCGGACTGCAGGCCGACGCTCTAACCGCTGAGCCAAACTGGCCAGGGCGGTTTATTGTTATTTTTAAAAGAATTGCAGCTATCTTCCATACTTCAATGTCTCAGTTTTGATTTCTAGTACAGTCAGTATTACAAGAGATCACCCCGTGAGCAAGCTCCCTGGAGTGTTCATGACTGTTAAGAGCCCGGGCCAGTGTGTACGCGGATGTTTCTCCCGTCACCAAAGGTGGAAGTCAGCTGACTGTGTTTCAGAGTCTGGGCTCTAAATGGCAAATGCTTTGAGTAAAGAAGAGTTTGTCTAGTAGACGGAGCATTGGAATATTCTGAGCCCAGGCTCAGATTTGCTGAAATGAAGTAGGAGAATTTCCTGGAAGACTGCTGAGACGTGGGGGGGTGGGGAGACCCCGGAAAGGGTAAAGCTCCGGGTGTTCGGGGAGCAGAGAGGGGACCTGAGGCCGGGACACCGCTGGGCCCTCTAAGTGCTTTGGTCCAGGAGACCCCGGCTCCCGGGTTGGACCTTGACTCCCAGCAGGCAGACCAGGGAGCTGCCGTCCTGGAGGGAATGGGGCAGAGGGCGGTCAGGACAACTGGACAAAGACTCTCAGTTCCGTTATTAACAGGCATGCAAAGTGCCCGTGCACTTCATCGGAATAATCACAGCCTTTTAAACAAAACGTGTGCTTTGGCTTGACTATTTACATATATTTTTGTCCTGATTCCCCAAATTATCTACTCATATACATCTTGGGTAAGTTCCTAATTAATATTTTGCTGAGAACATCCTTTTCACCGTGATGCTTGTCCCTCGGTACCAAGCTTTGTTTTCACTCTGGGGAAGTAGAAGGGACACATGCACCTGTGTCCTTCCAGCCCCCAGCGTCTGTGCAGTTGAAACGCCGCGTTAGATTCTTGAGCTGGTAGGTTCTGCCTGCCCTTTGGAAGCGCAGGTGGTGGCGATAATTATAGAAGTGGGGTCGTCATACACAAGCTCTTTTGGAATGACAGCGATGATCATGTATATGATCACTCTCCCAGGTACATGCTCATGCGTCCCCGGGGCCTGCAGGACCCGCTGAGAACTAGCCGGGCGAACTCCGCAGCCTGGGCGCGGGGACCGGGTGCGGCCAGACCGTGCCACCAGCAAGGCTGCGTTGAGAATGGCCCCGCTGTGGCTTTTCCTAATACTGCACTGATCCTGGGGGAGGGGGTGGAGTGTGCAGTAGGTGACGTGGAGTGTGCCAAAGCCTCGTGGAGAGCTGAGCTGTGGTCCCCCCAGGAGCGCCACCTGACCGCGCACGTCCGCACCCACACCGGGGAGAGGCCGTTCGCCTGCGCCTCCTGCAGCCAGCGCTTCCGGCAGAAGGAGCTCCTGACCGTGCACTTCAGGAAATGCCACGATGCCCACTTCACCCCCACGGTGCACCAGTGCCCCACGTGCGGCAAAGGCTTTTCCCGCTGGGTAAGCTCCCCGCGCGCTGGGCAGGTGGAAAGATCCTCCGCCCACCGGCACAGGTCCCACTCGGGACTCTAAAGGCGACTAGAGAGACGTCCCAGGGCCTGAGACAGTATCTGCGGCGCCTCGGGACGCGGTTGTCACAAAACTCCTGGAGACCATGTAAAAGTGTGGTCCCCCCTCCTGTGGGAAAAGACAGTCCTGCAAAGGAAACCTGGCAAACAGTTCTAGGGAGTTCGCAGATCTCTGCCTCCAAATCCATGGAGAAGCCCTGGATTTGGGGTGACACCTAAAACTTGTTCCTGTGAATTCTGTGGAGGCTGCTTCCTCGAGAGAAGGCAGTTTTCGGTGTTTGCTGGGTGTTCTTAGTGCCGCTGGTGCTGGGCTGAGGTCTGGCTCAGGGAACTCCATGTGGCTGCCTCAGGGTGTTGGCCGGGGCTGTGCTGTCTGAAGGCTGGATGGGGGCTGGGGTCTCCCCCACCCCCAGGTGGCACACACAGTGGAGGTGGGCTACATGGGGGCGGGGGTATATGAGAATTCTCTATCTCCCTCACATCATCGTCTGCCTCCCACAAACACACTGACTGGGGACCGAACCCACAACCTGGGTATGTACCCTGACCGGGAATCCGACCTGCCACCCTTCTGGGTGCAGGACAGTGCTTCAGCCAACTGAGTCACACCAACCAGGGCAACAGACGTCCGATCTTTAACACACAGTGCTGCCCGGCCGGTGTGGCTCAGTGGATGGAGCGCCGTCCCGTGGACCGAGAGGTCCCGGCTCGATTCCCAGTCAGGGTACACGCCTGGGTTGCAGGCTCGATCCCCAGTGGGAGGCATGCAGGAGGCAGCCAATCGATGTTTATTTCTTACATCACTGTTTCTATCTCTGTCTCCCTCCTCTGTCTCTAAAAAAATCAATATATTAAACACACACACACACACGTGCACAGTGCTCACAGTGTACCTCCATACCAGGATGTCGCAGGCCAGCCCCCTTCCTCCCAGGAAGGACCCTGCTCTGGACTCGGAACGTTGGGTCCTCCTCTGCTCAGCAGCACTTTTCTGACACAGACGTTTGTCACATCCCTTGGCCCTCTGAGTCCTAAAGAGCCTCGGTTGGCCTCGGCTCACTCCACCTGTTCTTCAAAGGCTGGGTGTGTTTAGTTTGGTTGGTTTGTTGGTTCAAAGCTGACGTCAGACATTCTTAACCACACACTTGACGAAGTAGCGGGGAGAGGCTGAGGGTGTGAAACTATTCACACTTTCCTGGGGCAGGAACAGTGGCTTTTTACACCCGCACTGGAATCCTGGACCCCAAGAGGGTTTGATTGTCCATAAGCGTCGCACAAACCAGGGGTTGGCGACTTTCTCTGTAACGGGCCAGGCAGTGAATAGCAGCAGCTTCTCAGACCAGACCGACCGTGTCTGCCCCAACTGCTGGCGTCTGAGGTTGTAGGACAGACGCGGCCGTAGGTGGACAGCTCGCAATGGGGGGACGTGGCTAGTCCCAGAACACCTGCTTCACAAAGGCCGTAGGAAGGCCAGACCTGACCCTCGGCCACAGCTTTCCAGGCCCTGAGCCTGGGCACCAAGTGGCGTGTCAGTACCTGTAACCTCCCCCTTTACTTACGCACAGCTTCTCCCTCCTTCCCCACAAGCCTGCCAAGCCCCGGACCGAAGCCGAAGTGGAAGCCGGTGACATGTTTCATATAATCAGCACATGAGTGACGGACCACCAGGGACTTATGTTCCCGTACGGACGTTTCAGGTGGTGGACATCTCTGACGTATGTCCAGGCCTCCTCCGTCTTCTCCTTTCACGACGTGTCGCTGACAGGTGTGACCAGCACCCTGCGGCCTCCCGGTTCGCGTGGGATGCTGTTCCCCGTCCACTGTCTCTGATGTAACCGCAGGCCTCGCCTTGCAGAGTAGATGCACTGTAGGAAAGTAGATTTTGTCTTCTGGTTGACTTCTATTCTCAGGAAATATCTCCAATAGCTAGCTTCCAGCTGGACCGAAACACCACAGAAAGGGTCACCTTCCCAACGTCGTCTGTCTTGTACAAGGTTATAGGGGGTGTGCGTCACCCACGTGTCTCAGACTGTGGGCTTTTAAATGACTTCCCTTCGGTGATGTCGACGCTCGTCCTGTGTTCTTGTCGTTCCCCCGACAGACGAACATGCGCCGACACTCCGAGAAGTGTGAGGCCGGACAGGGGGAAGCGGCCACCTCAGGAACAGGAAGGAGAATGAGGACGAGGAGGGCGGCTGTCCCCAAAGAGGCGGCGAAGGAAGACGGTACCTCCTTTAACTTACTGCGTTTGAACTTGACCGCGACTTTCTCCTTGTGCATTTCCCTGGGTGCTGAGCGTTCTGTGCAGGGAGCGCACCCCGAAAGCCGGGGTGCCAGCCCCCGAAGGGTACCCTGTCCTGGGCCCGGCTCTGCGCGGTGTCCCGCCCCTCTGGCCGGATCGTGGACTTCACGTGCCTCGTGTGGTTGCGGGGGGAGCGGGCCTGGTTGCTCACCCCCTCTCAGGACTGCGGTGAGATCAGAGTAGGAAAGTGACTGGGGAGCCCACGCCCCCCACCACATGGGTTCCTGGGGACATTTTAGGGAGGCGCAATGGCAAACACGTGTCCACTGCTGTCCTGTCCCTGCAGCTCCCTCAGCCGACCCGGTGCATTGCCGGGCGCCGTGTTCGTGTCCTGGAGACGCTGCAGCCAGCGACGGGGGGGCTCAGAGCGGGGGAGTTTGTTCCCTCATGGTCAGAGGCCAGACATCCTGCATCAAGCCATGGGGGGCTCCCTCTGGACGCCCCAGAGGAGGGCCTTTCTGCCTCTCCCAACTTCAGGTGGCCCAGGGGGTCCTTAGCTGGTGGCCACAGCACCCCAATCTCTGTCTCGATCACCACATGGCCTCTCCTCTGTATCTGTCTTCACCTTTCCTGGCTCTTATAAAGACACTTGTCACGGTATTTAGGTCTAAATTTAGGTATTTAGGTATTTAGTGTCTAAAGACACTTGTCACCAGTCAGGGCTTTTGGCTTTTATTTTAAAGTTGCCAACCCTTCCCTGGCCGGTGTGGCTCAGCGGTTAGAACGTCGACCTACGGCCCTCGCCGGTTTGGCTCAGCGGTTAGAGTGTCGGCCTGCGGTCCGGAGAGACCCGGGTTCGGTTCCCGCTAAGGGCACGTACTTCGGTTGCAGTTTGTCCCCGGCCCTGGTTGGTTGTGCGGGTGGCAGCCACTCGATGTGTCCCTTTCACATCGATGTTTCTCTCTCTCTCTCCCTTCCTCTCTCTCCCTCCCACTCTATCTGTACAAAAAATGGAAAAATATCCTCGGGTGAGGATAAAAAAATAAAAAAATAAAAAATAAATAATAATAAAAAAAAAGAACGTCGGCCTGCAGACCAATGAGTCTCGGGTTCGATTCCGGCCAAGGGCATGTACCTCGGTTGTGGTTCGTCCCCGGTCCTGGTCGGGGGTGAGGGAGGCAACTGGTCGATGTGTCCCTCTTATGTCAACGTGTCTCTCTCGCTCTCCCTCCACCCCACTCCACCAGAAGATAAAATGGAAAAATATCCTCCTTGGGTGAGGATTTAAAAAAATAATAAATAAAGTTGCCAACCCTGTGTCTTTTCCCCCCAAGAAGCCGCTGCCAAGGAGACCTCCGTGGTGACAGCGGAGCAGTACCCAGGAGAGGCGGCCCCTGCCAACCACGCGAGAGCCACAGCTGGAAGCAAGGATCTGGCTGGGGACCTGACCTGTGACATGCTCCTGGACATGCTGAGCGAGTGAGGGGTGCGGGGCTCCCTCTCTCCCACAGCAAGTTAGAAACCTTTAGCGCCTTCTTGGAGGCAGTGAAGTTGGTGACACTGGATTGTCACCGTTTTTCTAGAGCAGGAGGGAGCGCCTAGCATAGTTTGCCTGTTTCTGACTTGATATTTAAAAAAAACAGAAAACATGGCAGGTATTTTATAAAAGGCCCACATCTAGAAGTGGGGAATCAAACCTCAAACCCATGAATTTATTCACTAGATATTAGCAGAAGTGGCCCACAATGAATGAGCCGCGAGTTTTGGATAAAACTCCTTTCCGTTTAGCATAGACTCCACCAAGGGCTTGGGCGGCAAAGCTGGGAGATTTGACACTGAATTGTACCTGCCTGTGACCTTTCTCATATTGTGGTTTTTAAACATAAACTATTAACTTTATATCCTTTTTTATACAAATGAATTTTCCATAAACTTTAAAGCCATCATAATACTTTTAATGAGTTCTAAATTCAACACACAAAAGAGCTTAATATTATACCAAAAAAAAAAAAAAAAAACTGCATAGAAAATGAAAAACTAAATTGAACTAGAAAACGTCGCTTAACCTGGTTCACGTTGGTATATGAGCGGAGTCTACAATTAGATGTTTGTATTCTTCCGAAAGTATATCCTAGAGCAGCTAGAAAATCCCCCCTGGTTACACCCCGTCGTTGCTTATCAGTATATGTTCAAGGTCCTCTTGTTTTGCTCCAACTACTGTATGTTTTCAAAATAATTGGCCGAGAAAAAACAAGAATGCGCTAACGGAAAACGTGTGCTTGAAAAGAATGTGTGCTTTTTTCTAACGTCCTCTCTTACCGGCTGAAGAGATTTCCCACCTCCGAGTCGCACGTATGAACTGTCTCCAGTACTTGAAATTAACCGGCACTGCTCTTTCTAACGAGTCATAGTTTTCTTCTTAGCTCAGTACTTGCTCTTCCTGTGAATTTTTCTCCCCTTATGTTAAAATCAATGATAGGTCCTACATTCAAATTCTTTTTTTTCCAGCTTAATTGAGGCGTAAGTGACAAACTCGTAAGCTATTAACGTGTACATCGTGCCCGTGTGAGGTACATCATCACACATTATGAAAGAGTTTCTCCCACCTAGTTAACTCAATTCAAATCCCTAAAATGCTGACCTGCTGTTAGAAATGTCCAACTCCGGCAGCCCTGGGTGAGGTGAGCGTGCCGAATCGATGTCCCGGCAGGAAGGGCATCTTACTCTTTTCATAACAGCCAATACTTGCATTCACAGAGTGCGACTTAATTCTATAGTCTGTTCTGTACTGTCATTGTGACCATTTGGACTGTTGTAATAGTTTCTTATTCTCTGACTGTGGTTTAAAGACGTTCTTTATAACTCAATAAAGTGACTTAAAGTTACCTTTGTTATATGGGAATGGTGGTTCTTAAAAATACCTCTTTTTTTCCTGGTGAGGGTGTGGAGAAATTGGAACCCTTGAGCACTGTTGGTGGGAATGTAAAGGGTGCAGCCACTGTGGGAAACGCTAGGGCAGTTCTTCAAGAAATGGAAAATAGAGCCACCCTGTGACCCAGGGTCTTGAAGAGAGATTTGCACGCCCGTGTTCACAGCAGTACTGTTCACAGCAGCCAAGAGGTGAAAACAACCCAAGTGTGCACGGATGAGTGGTGGATAAATACAGGTAGTCTGTCTGCACAATGGAATACATTATTCTGCCTTAAAAAGGAAGGACATTCTGACATCTGCTACCACACGGATGAACCTTGAGGACATCATGTTAAGTGAAATAAGCCAGACACCAAAAGACAAATACTGTACGATTCCACTCACATGAGGGACCGAGAGTAGTCAAATTCATAGAGACAGAAAGTACATGGCGCGGGCCAGGGTTCGAGGGATGGGATGGGAGTTCGTGTTTAATGGGTGCGGCGTTTCCGCTTGGAAAATGAGCGCTGTGGAGGTGGGCGGCAGGGATGGTTCCAGAGCAGCGTGAATATGCGTGACGCTGCCAAACTGCGCTGAAAACTGTCAGGTGGCAAAGGTCATAGCATGTATTCTACTACAATCAGACGTTTTCAGATTTAAGGAGAACAGATAACCCGGTTTAAACCGACAAGCCCGACTTCCGGTCAAGATGGCGGCGTAGGGAAACGCAGTATCGCGTCCTCCCACAACCACATCCAAGTTACAACAAAACTACAGAACAACCATCATCCAAAACCGCCTGAAATCAAGCTGAATGGAAGTCCTACAACTACGGAATTAAAAAAAAAAAGCAGCTACATCCAGACCGGTAGGAGGGGCGGAGGGGCGGAGGGGCGGAGCGGCAGCGGCGCAGCGGCGCGGCGCGACGGGCTGGTCCCACACCCAAGTGTGGCGGATAAAAATCAGGAGGCTCCCGCGGCTGGGAAGGTCCTTCCTGAGGACTGAGGGGTCCCCGTCCCACACCAGGTGCCCCGCTCAGGGTCCCAGTGCCAGGAAGAGAAGTCCCCATAACTTCTGGCTGGAAAAACCAGCGGAAACTGAGGCTCAGGGAAGCTGACCTGGCTGGAGCCCCAGGCAGCTCCTTAAAGGGCCCGCGCACGGACTGGTCGGACTCTCTCCCTCTAAGCTCGGAGGGGAGGCAGCTCGAGGGGCACCAGAGAAATACAGGGAAGAACTGAGCTGTTTGGCACTGGAGCGAGGGCTGGAGAGGGGGCTTTCTCGGGGACAAACGTGCTGTAAGAGGCCTTTGTTCCTTTGGTGAGCCCTTCCCTGGGGTGGCAGACAGCCGCCATATCTGGGACTCCAGCAACCTGGCTCACACTGGTAGCCCCGCCCTGCTGACTCCCTGAGGCCCCGCCCCGCCCCGCCCCACACAGCTTTCAAGCCCACCCAAGCTGTTGCTACTTACTTAACCATAGGATTGGCCTGTCTTGGATCCTGCTTCAGGTTTTTCCTAAATTCTTTCAAACGAGCAGCATCGGGTCTCAGCGAGCCCCATACCTCTCATTAAGTAATACACAGAAACAAACACAGGGAGGCAGCCAAAATGAGGATACAAAGAAACAGGTCCCAAATGAAAGAACAGAACAAAACCCCAAGAAAAGAACTAAGCGAAATGGAGATAAGCAACCTAACAGATGCTGAGTTCAAAATACTGCTTATAAGGATGCTCAATGAACTCAGTGAGGCCTCAAGAGCATAAAAAAGTACCAGTCAGAAATGATCGCTGCACAGTTAGAAACGAAGGAGGCTTTAACTGAAATAAAGAATAATTTACATAGCTTCAATAATAGAGTACGTAAATCCAAGGAGCAAACCATCGATTTGGAATATAAGGAAGCAAAAAACGCCCAACCAGAACAGCAAAAAGAAAAAAGAATCTAAAAAAATGAGGATAGTGTAAGGAGCCTCTGGGACAACTTCAAGCGCGCCAACATTCGCATCTTGGGGGTGCCGGAAGGAGAAGAGAGAGAACAAGAAATCGAAAACCTGTTTGAAACAATAATGGCAGAAAACTTTCCTAACTTGGTGAAGGAAACAGACATACAAGTCCAGGAAGCACAGAGAGTCCCAAACAAGATGAACCCCAAGAGGCCCACACCAAGACACATCATCATCAAAATGCAAAAGGTTCAAGACAAAGAGAGAATCCTAAAAGCAGCAAGAGAAAGGCAGCTAGTTACCTACAAGGGAGTTCCCATTAGGCTGTCAGCTGATTTCTCAAAAGAAACTTTGCAGGCCAGAAGGGAATGGCAAGAAATATTCAGAGTGATGAAAACCAAGAACCTACAACCAAAATTACTCTATCCTGCAAAGCTGTCATTTAGAATCGATGGACATATAAAAACTTTCCCAGACAAGAAAAAGTTAAAGGAGTTCATCACTACCAAACCGTTATTATATGAAATGATGAAGGGTCTTTTTAAAGAAAAAGATAAAATATATGAACAAACAAAATGGCAATGAATACATATCTATCAACAATGGAATCTACAAACAAAATGAACAGGAAGAACAGGAACATTCTCATAGATACAGAGAACATTTGGTTGGTTGCCAGTTGGGAAAGGGGTTGGGGGAATGGATGAAAAAGGTGAAGGGATTAAGAAGCACAAATTCATTGCTAGACTGACAAACCTCAAAGGGAAAGGGGTTGGGGGGGTGGGAAGAAATAAACCAAAGAACTTATATGCATAACCAATGGACACGGACAATAGTTTGGGAAAAGGTGGGAGGGGGGCGGGAGTGGGGAGGAGGGGGTCAATGGGGGAAAAATGTGGAACATCTGTAATACATTTTACATCCAACAATAAAGATGTGGAAAAAGAAAAATAAATAAATAAATAAATAAATAAATAAATAAACCGACAAGCCCCACTGATATCTAAACACCATCAATACCTCCTCATAAACAGCATTTTATAAATAATTTGCAGTGTTCGCCCTTGCCAGTGTGGTTCAGAGGTTAGAGTGTCAGCCCAAAGCGTCTCAGGTTTGATTCCCAGTCAAGGGCACGTACCTGGGTTGCAGGTTCGATCCCCGGCCCTGGTCAGAGTCGTGAGGGAGGCAACCAATCAGTGTGTCTCTCTCACATCGATGTTTCTGTCTTCCTCCCTCCCTTTCAATCTATCTGAAAATCAATGGCAAAATATCTGGTGAGGATTAACAAAATAATAATAATAATAATTGCAGAGTTTTTCATGTATAACACCTGGGTGAGATATGATGTAGAATGAAATTCAGATGATCAGCTGTGATTCAGTTATGTGTCCAGACTCCCACCAAACACCTGCCCAGAAAGAGAACCTCATTTGCCCCTCAAGTGCCTTCCATGTCTGTGACCTAAGCAATGACAGCAGTCCCCACAAGAGGGCAGTTGTTCCCCCCCCCTTCCCCAGCCGTGGAGACAAACCTCCAGCTATTGGAGGCTGCGATAAGAGTGCCAAGCTCTAACAAACTCTTGGCCGCTGGTTTGAGCGTACCACGCCGAAGGATGAATAAAAAGCGGTTCGTCGTTAATAGTAACAGGAGGATTTGTTGCACCTGGCGTTGCTATGTAAAGACGGGGGCCTTCACCAAACCTGGAGGCGAGGGCCGTTTCGTGGCTGGGAGTTTGAGATGCTTGGGGAGTGAGCTACCTTCTGGAGGCTTAAGCTTAAAATAGTTTGGAGACCCAGCAGGAAACCGTTCTGGAATGCCACCTCCCTCTTGCACAATTTAACGGCTCTGTTTCGGGGGCAGGGTGTTTAAATTACAACATTGTTTGACAACAGTTTTACTATGTCAAGGAAGCTCTTTAAACAAAGCGGAGACCTGGCTGCAGCCTGCGCGGTTGGTCGGCCACTGGCTGGGCAGCTACCAGCAGAGGGTCAGTCCCGCCGACCTGCACGGAGGCCGTGGGCGCGGCCAAGTCCGACAGCCTCCGGCCGCCACGGCAGGAGTTTCCAGGTGCCGTTTCCCGCGTGAATGGGGTGTCCTAGGCTGACGGATGGACGCTGG